CTATACATATTTATATATTTTGCTATTGTATTATGGAGTGACACTTTCATAAACTTTTTTATACCCCTCTGATTATATAATGGTAAATATTACAATATCATAGCACAACAACAGTGATCAGCAATAATGATAAGCCTAATACTCACAATAAAAATAATAAGGTCATATAGATCATAACACAGTCTTGGAGGTAAGAAGTGGATTATCCTTCACCTGAAATGTTTGTCTTTTCATCCTGAAATGCGAGGCAAATGTTGGATCACAATAATTAGGAACCACAGTTTCCACAAATCCCTTCATTTGATTGGGATGTTCTCTTTTATTCTGGAGGGCAAGGGCAGTGACTGTACCATCGACCGTATTTTGCAGTATTAAACACCTATTTATACCGATTTCATCAGGCTCCGAAAACAGGGTGTTCAACGCACCATCGTTTCCGTTTAAACAACGTTTTGCACCGTTTTTGTCGGGGCTGAACGTAGCCCTGATCTGTCGTCCACTACAGTCTGGGGCTGGATTTAGTGAAGGCCGAATCGTGAACGAGGCGTTCTTTTGAATCGGATCTCTTTTTATGGAGCTGAACCGGTTCACAAATCTCACCTTAACGATTCGTTTATCGAACTGAATAGGTCCAGGAGAAAAATGTTCGGACATGCCCGATTCGTGGTAGTAAACCGAAAGGAGAAGATAATCAGAAAGAGAAGATACGAATTTTCAAAGTGAACTGAGAATTTAATGAGGCGAAAAGTAAGTTACTTTAAGTATTTTTACAACTTTGTACAACATTGTATGTCTTTATTGCTTTATCAACATACAAAAGCGAGTTTTAGTTTTAATAAATATCATTGTAACACGTGGAAAACGTTTTAGCCAAGAAATGTAAAATCATTTTAGCATAGGCCTAATTTCAATGCAAATGATGATTAAAATGCTTTTATGCATATAAAGGCTGAACACACTGAACTGAGATTTACATTTACATTTAGTCATTTAGCAGATGCTTTTATCCAAAGTGACTTACAAATGAGGACACTAGAAGCAATAAAAAAGACTAACAAAAGAGCAACAATATGAAAGTGCAATGACAAGTCTCGGTTAGCTTAACGTTGTACACAGCAAGGTATTATATATATATATATATATATATATATAAACACATATATGAGATATGATATTACAATAAGCGAAATATCATTATTTATTGTTTTATTATTTATAACACTTTTAAACTGCAAAATGTGCCTATGTTTGGCTTTATTGTTCGGAAAGTTTCAGTAATATACCAAGCCGGGATATCAGGGACCACGTATACTCGTAATTACGTAAAAGAACGTCTGAATCATTTTTGATCCGATTATCTGAAACCAACTGTTCAAACGAACCGACTCACTGAATTGATTCAGACATCCCATCACTAGCTGGAATTCGAGCGGGGAAGTGACGCTTTCTTCTAAAGTCTTTCCCCATCCGTATACGCCGGAACACAGAACTTCGCGCAATTGGATTCCCTTGATGTCAGTCAACAGCAGCTTCGCCACCACCACCTCTCCTGATTCTCTTCTCTGCTGCACTTGGCGACCATATCGGCCGTCAGGGAAAGAAATGCCAACGGGATGAGGGGATCGTAGGCCATGTAAATACAAAATATAAAATGTTTACGAGTTAATCGACACATTGACGTGCAGTTTGCTTTTCGATTATCGCAGTTATGGTTCCAATCGAATCCCGTCCGTGTGTTTTATCCACCACCGTCTCTAGCCTCGGGAAAATGTACCCGACTATTCTTGTTAGCATTTTTTTCGCAAACAAAAGAAGACACCCGAAAAAACAATAAAAGAGCTCGACAGAAGGATCGGTGAGTTTATCTCTCCGTGTGTTGTGAATGCGCATCGATTAGTTCATGTTAAGGCGAATGTTCGATGTCTTTTAACTAGTTTTTTTTTCAGTCGTCCCCCTTTCTGATTGTCCGAAGCCGGTTCAACTAAAGCAACCAAGTGAAATGTATAGAGACATTATTCAGCACAGACCTAGATTGATGATCCACATACAATGTATGCAATTCAGTGGTTCTAATAGCACGTAATGTGTGGTGAAAATCATGAAGATATCCAGAAAAATCCCGCTATTTCCATGCCTGGATTGACTGCTATACCTGCCTCACTGTTAATGTGAAAGGCCTAGACTAGTCTATTTAACAGAAAGTTTGCTTCATGTAAATAAATAAATAATACTATTCATTTTTTTTAATTGACAAATTTAGGCACATGGCAAAAAAGGTCGTTTCTTTATCTGAGGTTTATTAGGCGTATACACACATGACTGCTTATGAAATGACATAACATGTCAAACAATAGAAATGCTTTGCCATGGAGTAAAGCCAACCTTATTCAGTTCTGTGGTATAAATTACTGTTACGAAGATAAACCTTTTCATCTTTGTTTTTTTTTTGTTTTTTACATATTTCTTAAATTTCACATGTTTTCTTAAATTAAAAATTGCACACCAGAATAGATTATAAAAAAAAATATATATATGTATTTTAAGCTGAGAGCATACATTTTTATATAATCAGTGTCACAAATTAACTTTGTTTAATGGCAATTTTTTGCCGCTATGGGGCAACTTTTATTTTTTTTATACATATGTGACCCTGGACCACAAAAGCAGTCATAAGTAGCACAGGTATGTTTGTAGCAATAGCCAACAATACATTGTATGGGTCAAAATTATCGATTTTTCTTTTATGCCTAAAATCATTAGGATATTTAGTAAAGATCATGTTCCATGAAGATATTTTGTAAATTTCCTACCGTAAATATATCAAAACTTAATTTTTGATTAGTAGTATGCATGGCTAAGAGCTTCATTTGGACAACTTTAAAGGCGATTTTCTCAGTATTTTGATTTTTTTTTTTTTATGCACCTTCAGATTCCAGATTTTCAAATAGTTGTATCTCAGCCAAATATTGTCCTGTCCTAACATACATCCTGAACCATACATCAATGAAAATCTTATTTATTCTGCTTTCATATGATGTTTAAATATCAATTTAAAAAAATTTACCCTTATGACTGGTTTTGTTGTCTAGGGTCATATATATATTTATTTTTACCATGTAAAAAAACTTCTTTTATGTTAGATACTATAATTAAATCTGTTCATTCTGAATCTGAACAATTTTGACCGATACGTGTGAAATGAATTTATAAAATTAAATATGAAAGAAGCCATAAATAATCCCAAGATATCATAAGACAATCACCTCTAGAATTTGTTTTTGAGACAGATATGTGACAGCTGCAGGTCACAACAGTGTCTGCGGCGAAACAAAACCCATACTGAATCTGTTAATAGAAACTCTTAGAATATATGTTATGAAATATGTCAAATGTTAGATAACAGATAAATTCACTGTGCACGTTTTAAATATCTGGGATGTTTTTGTAACTTCTGAGAGGCAATTTGCCTAGAACCTTGTTTAGTTTCTGACTCGCGTATGTTCGAATTTGCAAAAAGTGCATTGATCCAAGTGGTATCAGGTGGGAAATGTTACTCAGTGTAGGCTTAATGCCTATCTATATGTTCTAAATAGGGGATTGTGGCCCATTGTTGCATAAGATATACAGTGGTGTAACCTCAGTAGGCCCATAAAACCTCCTTAACACTACAGCTTTACAGTGGTCTTTTTCCCAAAACGTGTGGTTTGTGGAGTTTGAGGATACCTAAGAATATTTTCTATTTCTGCAGACCTGCCACAGTGCTAAAGGTTGTGGGTTTGTTCAGAAAACAAATTGGTTTTTGAAATATGACCTGCTAGTTCAGGGTATCACAGATACATTCTTTTGACACGCAAGAAATTAGCAGAGAGTGAGAGGCACTAAACTCCTGCTGAAGTATTTCTGTGTGCAGAGGTTAAGGCCTGTCCAGATATTTTAGTTGTCTTGAGTGGGGCTTAGACATTGCAACAGACGTTTCCTAGAAAGCTGCTTCACTACACTTAAGTACATCGGTAATACTGTACAGTAAGGCCTCATTAGCTAACATGAACTAACAATGAGCAGTATTGTTTTTTTTACAGCATTTATTAATTAGTGTTAGTGTTAATAAAAAAAAAAAAGTTTAGTGAATTATCTATTGCTAACAGATATTTTTTTAAATAAATGTTTGGTAAATGTTGACATTAACATTATGATTAATAAATGCTGAACTAATGTAGTTAATTCATGTTAACAAATGAAACCTTATTGTAAAGTTTTAACATCTGGTGTTAACTTCTTAGTGGCGAGGTTGTATGATTCAAATTAGTCTCAAATATCAATGCTAATAGATTTGTTTATTGGTTATTTATTGTTATTTTATAGATTTATTTTATGAAAGAAATTATGAGGTTCCATGTGTCTTAAATGTATATTACACTGCACTCTTAAAAATAAAGGTTCAGAAAGGAGATTTTTGCAGTGATGCCACAGAAGAACCATTAGTGAACAGTTCATAAAAGAACCAGTTTTTCTTAGTGTGAAAAAACATTTTATTAATCTAAAAAAACTTTTTAAAAATCCATTTTGCAATGGAAAGATTCCATGTTAAAAGTTCTTCATGGAACCATGAATGCCAATAAAGAACCTTTATTTTTAACCATCTTCTGTTCAAAGTTTTTTTTTTTTTATGTTTTAATGTCTCTTATGCTCACCAAGACTGAATTTATTTGATCAAAAATACAGTAAAAACAGCAATACTATGAAATATAATTTAAAATAATTTAGTTTGTCTGTTGTCCTAATTATAATCATAATTCTATAATTATAAAATCAAATGTATATATTTGAAGGTAAAGTTGAATTTTCAGCAGCCATTACTCTAGTCTTCAGAAATCATTCTAACATGCTGCTTTGGCTCACAATAACAGCATGTATTTGAAATAGAAATGTTTTGTGACATTGTGAATGTCTCTGCTGTTAGTTTTTATTAGCAGAGATGCATTCAAGTGATCAAAAGTATTAATGAAAAAAAATTGGACCCCAAACTTTTAAACGGTAGTGTACATAATGCTGTTAAGTTTGATATTAAAACAAAAACATTTTTTCATAGTATTACATGGATCATAATTGTGATCATGTATTAATTATGGGTCGAAGATTGTTCCTAGCGTTTAAAAGGACTAGTGTAGAGTTAAACAGAGATGCCACTTTTTCTTAGAGCAGCTAAAGTAAAACACCATTGCTGAGGCTCTGTCTGTCTTATCTGTTGTTCAAGGAAGTACAACCCACCCTGTCTGTGTGCTATCCAGGGCATGGATGTTATAATCAACTATATGTACGACTCTACCACTTAGTGTACTCATATTTAATTTATTTTATATAATACAGATGTTTTTCATTTAATATAGTTTCTTATTGTCAGAGACGGGCATATTTTACATCCATGCTACTGAAGGTGTATGCGGTTGATAGGGGCTCTTTCTCAGTCTCATGTGGCGCTCAGACTTTTATCAAAAGAGCTCAGGCACGAACAGCATGCGCGATCTGTCTGTGAACAGAAGCTGAATTTTGGTGTGAATGTTTGTTTGAAATGACTGTGTAGATTGTGAGTGTCTGTCCAGCATGAGAACGAGGCGGACTGCTCCGGACTGCTTCCTCTTCTGGCTCTTGGGTGCTAGAGATGTCTGGTGTAGAATTTGGCTGCAGTATCAGGTGAAGGGGGGCAAGACCTGGGGGGACAGAGGGGGCTATTGGAAAAGTAGAATTGATGGGGTAAATGTAGGATTTGAAAAAGTCATTCTTAGTATTTAAACTCTTCTCATTGCACTGCATTTCTGCAGTATGCATTTGCTAAAAAAGCTTGAATGAAAATTTGCTATGTAAATGTTGGGAAAATAAACAACTTAAGGTGGTTATGGCTTAGGTATTTGATGATTATGATGTAATTAATAGTTAGGATGTATTCTTATTCTAATCTATATAATCATTAGTTCAGTGTCTATAGAATGAGTGGAATCTAATGTAGAGACAATCGGTTGTTACATCTTTTTGTATTCTTGTATTTTATTTGTAGTAATGTGTTTTCTTGTAGTGATGTACAATATACAAGCACATATCTGTATTTAATTAAATACAGAAATTCTAAAGTTCTAACACTTTATAACTACATTACTCAAAATATTTTACATATTAAACATAAAATATATTACAAATAAAGATAGAAATGAATGGTTATGACAATCTAAGAAAATTCCTTTTTATAGTGAGATCCAGAAGTTTCAGGACTGAAAGCAAATGTTTTCATATGAAGTGAAATATTTAAGATTTTGGATTTCCAGGTTGCTGATCAAGTAATTAAATTTGTTACACTGATCATGTGAACTCCTTTGTACAGACAGTCAGATGTTCTTCCACTGAAGCACAAGATGCTCTTTGGAACATTCTCAAATCATGCTGAGGAACATGATCATCAGGTTTGACACAGACTTATGGAGTTCATGCAGCTTGAGTACTGCTGTCATTGAAGTAATAGGTGTACAAACCAAGTACTGAGAGATTTTACAAATTTCTGTTAAGCAGATAATCCTGTAAGTAATGAAAACATTTGTATTTAAATGAGAAGCATTTTCACTTTATGTTGCCCATAGACCCTCTGTAGACTAGGTCTTTATTTCATTCCTGATATTATAATATCAGGACTATAATATATTGTAATATAACTATGTATGTAAGTATTGCAATATAACTATATACATAAGTATATAGGTATATTGGTTCAACTATATCAGCATCTCAATCCTGAATGGCAAATTCTGGGGTAATTTATAGTGTCTGTGTAGGTTTGATTTCCACTTGAGGAAGGGGCATTGCCTTTGCCAATATGCTGTCTCAACCAATTTTTGAGCCAAATATTTTGAAATAGTTTTGTATGTTTGGTCTTGCGTTGCGGTTCTGTCTCTTAGCCACACAAGGGAGCCCCACAGCCAAACATGAGCCTCCCCTGTGTCACGTGCATAGTATAAGAAAACATTAGGGATGGAAACATTCGACAAAACGGCCGGATTCATTACATCATGTATGTGTTACAGGTTATTGCCAAGATTACCATTGCATAGAATATATACACATCTTACATATAGAGTACACAAGAGGGTGTACTCTGGTTCTGGTCTTTTGCCCATGGGGTTTCAAAAGACAGTATATTGAAGATCTCCACAGTTGGTGTGTGTTGGGAAGTGGTTGACTTCAGGTGATAGACTTGGCCTTTGAGACCAGACTGCACTAGGAAGTTAATGTACATTCACTCTGGTGTGCCTCCCAACCACGTTTGCGTTAGGTTATATAATGTCAATTCACCACAGTTCTAGTCATTTCAGTAGTGCTAACGTTGGTCATGCAATACTTTTTGCGCAACAGTCTTTCAATATGTATGCAACTTGTTTGATTGCAAATCTAGGCAAAAAACAAATGACCCTTGGCTTCATATTTAGCACAGAGTTTCACAGAATACATCTTAATGAACTCTTTGACCCCTTTTCATGAACCCTTCTGACCACCCTGCACCACAATTTTACATATGTAGTGCATGCTCATTCTGGAAGTGGAGCAAGTTTCTGAGTTTGGGGGAAAGGTTAGGCTTGTTGGCCTCTGTGCACATTGTCGCCATAGCTGCACTGCCAGATCTGAACTTTGATTTATGGTCATCCTTTATGCTCTCAGACTGGCTTTGAAAGGGACAAAGACAAGGTGACCAGAGGAAAGATGGGCAGAAAAGACAGAAGGAAGATTATGAGAGTTAATAGGATTTTGCTGTATGTCCACTCGTGTACTGTACTGACATTGAGCAGCAGGTCTAATATATAGAAACATGAATGAAGGTGAGGGTTTAAAAGTACAAGGGTATTATGACTTGCTTTCTTTAAATATAGCTTGTAACTCATCCAGATGAAAGAAAATTTAAATTCTCAATTAAAGTTGAGATCCCACGCCATTTAGCTACTGTTAGTATATTTATTACTTTTACTGCATTTACAGACCGCTAACCTGATGGCCATTAGCACAAAGATGAATCCACCATGATATTAAAGCAACAGGTCTATAACAATTTAGGGTTATGCAAAATTAAGGATTAATGAAATCTCTTCTCTCTCTCAGTTCAGGAGTTGGAATTTGGAATCTGCCTGCCTTTCATTGTTGTTTAAAGGTTTTTTTTTTTTTTGGAAGTTTGGTTTGGACGAGTTTAGACAAGACTGGGCTCGGAACTGAAGTCTGTCTCAAGTCCGAGACCAAGACCATATTTTCGGGAGCATTTGAACTGGACCCTTACTCAAATGAGCTGGTCTCGACTAGTCATAGAAAATACAGTCTTGGACTCATCCTTGAGATGGACTCAATTATTGTAACACTGCAAACAAGCCTTTGTACGTTGAAAAATTCTGTAATTTTAACTAGGCAATTTTACAGAATAGTCTGCACCTCCCACCCTAATCAATATACCAGTTGCTGATTTTCTGTCAGCATCACAAGTCATAAGTTTATCCAACTGAAATTTGTAGGACATTTACACATGACACCTAGCAGCCTCTAAAAACATGACACCCATCCTTTTCCTCTCTACTATCTGAGAGAAGGTGAATAATGCACTGTAGCTCATTCTCCCACATGACCTACATTCTGTTGTTCTTTTTATCAGGAGACTTGAACTATCATTAATTATTTATGGCAGTTTTTCTCTATAGTTCTGGCTTCTCTTGTTGTGACATATTTTACATTAAATAATTTAAAGTGCTAGTTTTTGATTGCAAATTAATGCAATGACATGCTTTGATAGTTATTTTGTTGTGGCTTTTTTGTTTTTAATATTATGTTATTGGTTTTATTACCATTTATTTATTTTAAATTTTTGCAACTCTCTTGGCTTTCCATAGAAAGACATGCACTTGGGTTATACAGCTTGCTTTATGTGTTCATAGGTGGAAAGTTTATCCTGTGAAAGGATGGGTTAGCCAGAGTACATGCAGTTCTTGAGCTCATGCTTCACCTGGAGGCGATCACTACTCTATTTTTAGCTGACTCACGTTTGGCCTGTTCTGACTTTTTGGTCTGGTCTATCATGGTGTTACTTTTACAATTACATGTGAATAACTGCCAGTGAACAGTTAATTAGCCCAAACACAAATTCATGCTTCTGTTTGGGAAGAGTGCATGAGCTTTTTCAAGATTATTAAAGTTAAAGCCAAATCAAAAGTTCTTTTACACAGCGATTAAGGAAGATAGGATTTACAGAGATCATGCAAAATCTCTCAGTTCATTAGCTGCTGAGTGCTCTGCTATGGTGGGTCAGAAAAGACAGGCCCAGACTGGCATTGTAAGCAGCATGTTGACTGGGAGCAGTTCCATTAGTTCATTTTTAGCGCTGGCCTTGAGTCTCAGTGAGTCTGCCTGGCAACACTTTAATCACTTAGGCCCTGTTTACACCTGGTATTAACATCTGTCTTGGGTGATCCAATCCTAAGTGGTCAGTCGAGAAAGATTGCCATATACACCTGGAATTAACATCCTTAATTCTCCTGAGTCTCCTGTGGCCACTTATAATTGCATCATGTATTGAGTGATTGTCACTCCCTGTTGATAAATCATAAAAATATAAACACTTTGCAGTTGTAATGCTTATTGTTTTTTTTGAGTATGTTAATGTCATACCACAGCCATATCACCCTGCAGCCCAAGACTGGTTGCCCACTGAAGCTAAGCAGGGCTGAGCCTGGTCAGTACCTGGATGGGAGACCTGTTGGGAAAACTAGGTTGCTGTTGGAAGAGGTGTTAGTGAGGCCAGCAGGGGGTGCTCACCCTGTGGTCTGTGTGGGTCCTAATGCCCCAGTGTAGTGACGGGGACACTATACTGACAAAAAGCACCGTCTTTCGGATGAGACGTTAAACCGAGGTCCTGACTCTCTGTGGTCATTAAAAATCCCATGGCACTTCTTGTAAAGAGTAGGGGTGTAACCCCGGTGTCCTGGCCAAATTGCCGCCCTGGCCTTTGTCAATCATGGCCTCCTAATAATCCCCAACCACTTGATTGGCTCTATGACTCTCTCTCCTCTCCACCTGTAGCTGGTGTGTGGTGAGCGAACTGGCGCTGCTGTCCTGTGGCTGCCGTCGCATCATCCAAGTGGATGCTGCACACTGGTGGTGGTTGAGGAGAGACCCCCCCACATGATTGTAAAGCGCTTTGGGTGTACAACAATACACAGTAAAAGCGCTATATAAATGCATCATTCATTCATTCATTCATGTCTTATTTCTTTATTAATTGATGTTCAGTTATGCTTGATCTGTAACTGTGAGAGTTCACATTAATTCACTATCATAGCCATTATGCAATTATTTTAGGACTTTGTTTTTTTACGTTATGTTTTAAGGTGGTCATTTTTTTTTATATTGATAAGTCTTTTATATGTTGGTCTCATTTAAATGAATAAATGTTTCTTTAAAAAATACTGATTTTGTTGGCAAAGTATAAATGTGTAAATTGGTTTAATGAATTGATTGTTCAGGTTACATATAGATCGCTTAATAAGTTACTACACAGGCAAAGTGGTCACGTTTGTTTCTGACTTCCTCTGAACGGGAAAGAAACATTTTTGAAGATGAACACTTATATTTAGAATTATTAACTTGTGATTGGATTACCCAAGATAGACGTATAAATGGGGCCTTAGTCAACCCACATGCACACTCGTATGTCTGTGCTTCCACTTTTTTTTGGACTTATGACTATGGTTTTCATCTCATTGGGATTTGTCATCATGTACTAATAGAAGTCTGACTTTTTGTTCCAGATCCAGGTGCCCCCACCTCATGGAAAAGGTTGGGAAGGTGTGGAGCAACCTTAAGAAGGGATGTCAATCTCTGCTCCACACAGATGGGGGTTCTCGAATTGAAATGCCACCACAGCTTCAACTGCAAACAGACACAGTATGCCAGAGTGTGGACAAGGCCCAGGGAGACAACACACTGGAGGCTGCTAGTCCTTCTAGCAGTGTGGCGGCACTCCCTCTAGTGGTATGGAGGACCGGTGGGAGTGTGACACGACAGGGCCATAACTGTGTAGTGGATGTACCCCAGATACTAGAGATCACAGTCGAGCAGGATACCGAAGATGCTCGTGCTCCCTTGGGAGCCCGCAGAGACTCTTACTCACGTCATGCACCTTGGAGTGGAAAGAAGAGACACTCATGTTCCACTAAGGCTCAGAGTTCTCTGGAGACCACAGATCGGCGATCAGGCTGGTCTCGGCGCAGACGTGGGACTGGTAGCAGCTGTGAGGAGCTGGAGTCAGGGGCAGCACGCTCCCTACGGCAGCAGATTCATGATACAGTGGGCCTGTGCCTCCCACTGCGCTCATCCTCTCGGAACAGTCACCTTCCACCACCCAAACGTAAGATACAAATCACAGAACTGATGCTGGAGACGTGCCCCTTCGCACCAGGATCAGACCTTGCTCGAAAATGGCACCTCATTAAACAGCACACAGCACCAGTCACAGTGACACCAGTAGATTCATCCTCAGATGCTTGCGGTGCTACCTGTGCATTGCCGGAAGATGAGGAGGAGCGCTTGAGAGAGAGAAGACGACTCAGCATCGAGGAGGGTGTTGACCCACCTCCAGATGCCCAAATCCACACAGTGGAGGCTATCACAGCCCCTCTGGCTTCCCTTTATAAACTGGGACCTAAGTTGGCCCCTGGAATGGGTGAGGCCCTAGGCGATAGCCGGGGGGCAACAGCAGCTAACTGTGACTCTGAGGACGATGATACCACCACTCTTTGCTTGCAAGCTCGCAGGCCCAAGCAGCGACACGCTTCGGCGGAGGGCCTCCTGAGCAGCAAGCAACAGGGGCCTTGGAAGGTACACACTCAGATTGACTACATCCACTGCTTGGTTCCAGATCTGCTACAGATCACAGCACTTCCCTGCTACTGGGGTGTGATGGACCGTTATGAGGCTGAAGCCCTGCTGGATGGTCGGCCCGAGGGAACCTTTCTCCTGCGAGACTCGGCTCAAGAAGACTACCTGTTTTCCGTTAGCTTCCGTCGCTATGGCCGTTCGCTGCACGCACGCATTGAGCAGTGGAATCACAACTTCAGCTTTGATGCACACGACCCTTGCGTGTTCCATGCAGCCACCGTCACGGCACTCTTGGAACACTATAAGGACCCTAGCGCTTGCATGTTCTTTGAGCCATTGCTCACTGTGCCTCTGCACCGGACCTTCCCATTTGGCCTGCAAAGCCTGGCTCGATCAGCCATTTGCAATGGGATCACCTACGATGGCATCGGGGCACTGCCAATGCCCCCTGCTCTGCGGGACTACCTCAGGGAGTATCACTATAAGCAGAGGGTGCGCGTACGCTGGCTTGAGAGGGAGCCAGTCAAGGCCAAGTGAGGTGGGGCAGATACTTCTCAGCTCTCCAACAGGAGTAGTCCATTAAGCACTTTGCAGAGGTGGAGGAATTCGTTTTTTTTTTTTTGTGTGTGGAGGGGAAAGGGTTAAAAGGAGGGACCTGAAACTGAACACTATAAAAGCTTCTATCATTTTTTGCTATCACTCTAACAAACAAAGAATTTACATATACAGTGGCTCTCCAGTGTGCACATTTCACTACAGCTTCTGGACTAGGAAGAAGCAGCAGAGGGCTTAGTCTCCTTTTTCCTTCTCCCTCAGTTCCCATGGCTGTGGGGGAATCTGCAGATACAGATATTTTCACGCCCCTCCACTCACTGCTTGACTATGTGGTTTATAGCCATTTCACTTTATTTATGTTGTACCATTCACCTGTTTTTAATTCCCTTGCATTAAATATGCATTGTTAATGTTTATTCAAAGTAACATTGCGGACAAATTTTGAGGGGAGGGGAAATGAAGGGTGATGTTCAAATGTTGCTTTCCCAGCTTCTTTCATCATCCTTAGCTTTCATGGTGCTCTGTCAGTGTTTCCTATGGTAACATTCTGCGCTCATTCCGTTGTTAAAGGGGGAAGTGTTCTAGAGCAGGACACAGAAAGGCTTTCACCCTGCTCATTGAGAACGAGACGGAGAAATCCATGAAAGATAGATTGACCTTAAACTATGTGTCCAGACAGCTTTTGGGAATGCGTTGCAGTGGAGAGAAGGGTTCTGTGGCGTTCTGCTTCCGGGAAGCGATAAGGATGATATGCACAACGTGACGCGGTGTGATGTGAGAGCGCTTGGTTTTCAAAAAACATAGTTACTCACACTCTGCGTTCTGTTGCTGTTAGAATGTTTTGTAATCATTAATTCCTACCACTAATTGCACAGGGAGGGGGGGGCGGGGGTGTGACTAATTCTGTATCGTCTTTTTTTGTATTGTTTTGAATGGTCTATCAGTGCCGTGGAAGTTGGGCGCTGGTTGAGAGCACTTTAACTTAACTGTGCTTATGTTAATGGGTGAAGCAGAGGCAATACATAAACCTGCTACACTGGGACCATTGTTTTTAGGCATAAACACCCTCCTATATAGGAATAAACACTCTGCGTTCACTTTGTCTAGCCCATATTGTTCTAGAGAGGACAGAGTACGTTTTGAGGTGACCCCATCAGTGCCATTGGATTTGGGTCAAGCTGGCTTGTTTAGCTTGATTTTGGGATGATTTAATAATTGATTAAAGGGATAGTTCACCCAAAAATGAAAATTCTGTCATTGATTACTCACCCTTATGTCGTTCCAAACCCGTATGACCTCTGTTCATCTTCAGAACACAGATTAAGATTTTTTTTTTTTATGAAATCCGAGAGCTTTCTGACCCTGCATAGACAGCAACAAAACTACCACTTTCAAGGCCCAGAAAGGTAGTAAGGACATCGTTAAAATAGTCCATGTGGCATCAGTGGTTCAACCGTAATTTTATGAAACTGCGAGAATACTTTTTGTGCGCAAAGAAAACAAAAATAATGACTTTACTCAACAATTTCTTCTCTTCCGTGTCGGTCTTCGACGTGCGTTCACAAGAGTACCACGACGCATGTGGTGCTGCTGATGCATAAAAAGTTTTCTCGTAGGGTCATAAAATTCAGGTTGATGATGTCACATGCATTATTTTAAACATTGTCCCTACTACCTCTCTGGGCCTTGTGTTGTGTTGCTGTCTATGCAGGGTCAGAAAGCTCTCGGATTTCATTAAAAATATCTTAATTTGTGTTCCGAAGATGAGCAAAGGTCTTACACGTTTAAAACAACGTGAGGGTGAGTAATTAATGACAGAATTTTCATTTTTTGGTTGAACTATCCCTTTAATGATCTGTAGTGCATTTATCAGATTCTTTTTTTGAAAGCAACTTTGGAGGACGGTTCAGGTTTTAAATAATAGAGTATAATCACATTATTGGCCCCTAGGCCAAGAGCAGCTTCTTTATCACTTTAGAATCAGCCATATGTGCACTTGAATTTCTTTGACTAAAATGAGGGATTTCAAATGCCACATGTTTTTGATGAATGCTGGAAAAAGGAAAAGACTAAAAGATTTCTAACTCTCGTGTAGTTTGCCCCATCTGTTTAGTCTCAAAAAACACCTAGATCACTTAAGCAGTGTGCCTTCATACATCTAAAGCTTTTAGTTCATCGTATGGTGCATTCAGTGGATGTGTTTTCCAATGACTGTTCCTGCACAGAGTGCCAATGGCGCTGTGAGACATCCTCTTCATGGGCCTGGTGTTGATGTATGATGTATTTTGT